CCTTTACATGATATGCTAATTTTTTGAGATAGGGATTTTTGATTTTTTTTTTTTTACTTTTTTGCCAAAATCATCAATATTAAAACAATAAAAGGCTTGAACTACTTCAGTTGGTGTGCAATGAATCTAAAATATATGAAAGTTTTATGTTTATCAGTACATTACAGAAAATAATGAACTTTATCACAGTTTGCTAATTTTTTGAGAAGGACCTGTATATACCAATGGATGAGACCGTTCCATTAGGCATGACTTGGGTTTGGGATGACTGGACTGGCACAATCAGTCTGCCAGCTTCCTCTGGAAGCCCCTGTGGAACCCCAGTGTGAGCGCTGCACGTGCAGCTCAAAGAAGCTGCAAAAGAATTTTTCTTAGATGCTGAAAACGGCTGATGATACAGGCTTCATTGTGGATCATAAAATCCTCTGCTCTGTGTGTTACACTATTTATTAAATCCACCAGTAAGGCTGAATCCATTCATGTTAAAGGTATTTTTGGCACAACTTTGTGCATCCTTTATCTAACTGCATCCATGTGGATATAATAATTGTTATTCATGCATGTCTGGTGTGAACAATAATCATTTTTCACCTTGAAGTGTCGCCAATGGAACCAGAACCACAGAAATGTGCATACGCCAGTCCTGGAGTTGGCGTGGGGCTACGTACATTCCCATGTTCATTTCAGTTTAGATATATGGAGTTTTGAGTGGAAAAGGGCATTTTAGGGTTTGCGTATGCACCGTTGACACATGAGGCCCCTGGTCTGGTCTAGGTTCAACAACATTATTACTTAAGTACATTGAATGACCAGGTTATTCCATCAATGGATTCTCTTCCCTGATAACAGGGATTTTTTCTGTTGAAACTTGTTCCTTGGTTCAGTAAAAGTAAAATGTGAAATAGACCATAATGTTTTGCAGTCTGAGTCAACACAGAATGCTAATAGAATCTAATGCTTATATTTGCAACTCATTATTGTCACTATAAAAATGACTTTTTTCTAGACATCTCTACATAAGGGGGCTGCTCTCTGTTTGAGCTGTGGGGCTGGAATATGATGAGAATATATGGAATGATTATATATGAAAAAATGTTTAGTTCTAAATATGAAGACAACTGTTATAAATCTGGGTGGTTTTTGTTTAATAAAAACAGACTGAATGCAGACCTGATCAGGAAACAGCTGGAAAGAAATTAACTGAGGAAGACTGCAAGGGCAGATGGGACCAGTTCTAGGACCTTGAAGACCTGTGACCCACTTAATAACTTTTAATGAAATTCACAGAAGTAATTACTRGATGAACATCTACACCTGAATGATATTTGGAGTCATTCCAATTCAAGACGGCTGCCTCAGCTTATTGAACATAGCCTGTACAGAAATGGTTATACCTGTAGATTTTGCAGATGCTGAGCAAAGGTCTGATGTGGTAGTAGCTGAGAATCACTCACAACACACTTTGAGCACCAACAGAATTTGTGAGATATTACATGTCATTTATGTTTTCACCAACATGGCTATAACTCTACCTTCTCTCCGGAATCTGTGTGTGTTTGTCAGGTAGGAATCATACTGGTTCAGTGTCTGCTGATGATCTTCTACACCAGTTGTGTGTTCCTTTTTATCGGTACGTGTGTATTGGGCCTATGCATCAGCAGCGTGTTCCCCTCCATGCTGGCTTTCACAGAGGATGCCTTAGACTACAAAGGTAATAAATTTATACACTGATAGGTTCTTACTTGAACTAATGGGTTCTTATTCACACTGACCGGTTTTTACTCGCACTGACTGGTTCTTACTCACACTGGCATGTTCTTACTCACACTGACATGTTCTTACTCACACTGACAGGTTCTTACTAACACTGACAGGTTCTTACTCACACTGACAGGTTCTTACTAACACTGGCATGTTCTTACTCACACTGACATGTTCTTACTCACACTGACAGGTTCTTTCTAACACTGACAGGTTCTTACTCACACTGACATGTTCTTACTCACACTGACAGTTTCTTACCCACACTGACATGTTCTTACACTGACATGTTCTTACTCACACTGACATGTTCTTACTCACACTGACATGTTCTTTCTAACACTGACAGGTTCTTACTCACACTGACATGTTCTT